TGGGGGGGTGTTGGGGAGCGTGGCGAGCCCCCGGGAACCGGAAACATTCTGAACTCAATATGCATTTGTGGGAACAGAAACAGAAGACGAGGCCGCTGAGCAGGCAGGGATGTGAAAGCACATGGTGCCAAGGCAAACAGTGGCGCCTGCCCGGGAGGACTGGAGAGGACAATGAAGGATTTGGCAAGAGAAGGAGATCAAAGGGTAGGAAGTGGTGGCGGGGCGGCCTCGCTGAGATCAGGAGCCGGAGTGAGGCAACCTGAGCCTTCGTGGAGTGAAACAGGGATAATGACGGGCCGCGAGGCTGCAGGGAAGGGGCCCCAGCGGCCTGGGAGGCGTCCGGTAAGGGTGGCGGCGTGAGCATCGTGCACTGCGATGCCTGTTGGGACACAAACACACTGGGCCTGGCTGCGTCCTCCTGACGGAGGCTCTGGGCTCTCACCGAGGCGGCCAGTCGGACGCAGTAGATTGATCGGCATGAAAACAGCCAATCCCAGCCCCGAGCTGGTGTGGCTCAATGGACAGAGCGTTGGCCTGCGGACCGAAGGGTCCGGGGTTCAATTCCGGTCAAGGGCACGTACCTTGGTTGCAGGCTCCTCCTCATCGGGGCGTGTGCAGGAGGCAACCAATCGATGTGTTTCTCTCACATGGGTGTTTCTCTGTCTCTCCCTCTCCCTCCCACTCTCTCTAAGAATCAGTGGGAAAAAACCCTCAGGTGAGGATCAACAAAACAAGGAAAACAGCCAGTCCCGGACCAGAGAAGCAGGTCTCAGGACGGCGTGAGGTGAAGGGATCCGTTGACCACACGTTTCTGTGTCCCCTCTGTGCTAGCCCTGCAGCACACGCCTAACCCTGTGACACACGCCTAACCCTGCAGCACACGCCTAACCCTGTGACACACGCCTAACCCTGAAGCACACGCACATGCATGCAAGTCGCCGAGACACGCTCTCCTTTCCTGAGGACCTTCCTTATCTACACGCCGCCTCCTCTCTCTGTAGCCTCACCCCCTCGGGCTGATGCCCTGCCCCGTGGACGTGACCGTGGCCGTGGCCCCCCCCACCCGCGCCCCCCCTGCCCTTGGACAACTTCCTTGCCTGACCACCGCCTCTGGGAACCCGATGATCCTTGTCCGATCCAAACTCACCCTCAGGACCCCACCCGGTTCCAGCACCCGCCTCCCGACAGCTAGAACTCTCCTCGGAGGACAGAGCCTGCAGCGTTATGAGCAGACGGTGTGCCTGAGAGCAGGGTCGGCAAGAAACGGGCGGTGAGAGCCGCTGCACATGAGCAGTCCCCCTGCAGGCGTGGGCGGGGGGGGCGAAGAGGAGAGAGGGGAGGGACAGGAGGCAGAGCACCTGGATAGCACACCTCCGTACTGTTAAATTGTTAAATTATTTTTATTGGTTTCAGAGAGGAAGGGAGAGGGAGCGAGAGAGAGACATCAATGGTGAGAGAGAGTCATGGACCGGCTGCCTCCTGCAAGCCCCCAACTGGGGATGGAGCCCGCAACCCGGACATGTGCCCTGACCGGGAATGAACTGTGACCTCCTGGTTCATAGGTCGACGCTCAACCCCTGAGCCACGCGGGCCAAGCCCTCCATACTGTTTAAATGGTACAACTCCCCTCGGGTCGTCCAAATCTTCAGCCAGCCTTCTGCTCCCTAACCCTCCCATAATACACCCCGAGGGTGAGGGCGAGGCTGTACATACGAGAGGAGGCCAGGGATCTGGAGTCGGGAAGATCAACCGGAAGTGGGGGCGTCAGGCAGCAGAGTGGAGACAGCACCCCCAGAACGAGGACGCAGCCAGAACCCAAGCCCACCGCGCAGCGCCCCAGGAATGCCCAGCTGCGGACCCTGAGGAGGCGGCCGTGGCTGCGGTTGTGTAATGGGGCTTGAGAAACAGTCTCCTCTGGTTAAACACAAAGGGCGTGATCCCACCCACACCTGCGTCACGGTGCTCCGGCTCCTGGCCTTCGCCGTGGCACCAGCTCCCAACTCGGCTCACCTCCCCCGAGGCCACACACCCACCT